GTCGGGTGGGTGGAATCGGCTGCAAGAGTCCTGCTTTGCGCTGTCGAGAGGACTTCGTACGCTAACACGTGTCGCACGAGAGAATGTAATCCTCTACGTCTGCTGCAAGCCCTGGCCAGTAGTATGTGCGACTAAGCGTCTTAACCGTTTTGTCTGCTCCGAAGTGACCTGCACTAACTACGTCGTGCGCCTCTGAGAGAAGGAGCTGTCGAAGAGGGCGGTAGGCTGGAACCCAAATCCGTGTGGTACCCTTCCGTATGTAGACACTGCCCTACACCTCTGCTCCTGCGGGCGGCTGCGGTGTAAAGTCGGGATCTACTATGTAACCGTGCTCGAAGAGTGCTGTGAGAAGTGGATGGCCGGCAGTGACTGTAAGACTAGCGAGCTGGCAGCTAGGGCGAGTGAGCGGATCTGCTGGGTTGCGAACGCCTGGCTTGTACTCTATCCTGTAGTGGAAACTCCCCTCCATGAACTCCATCCATCTAGCGTGGCGTCGACTCAGCTGCGGCTGTGACTTGAGAAAGCGAAGCGAGCAATGGTCCGTGCGTATAACACTATCTGCCTCCTCTAGGTAGCACCTCCACACCTTATACGCATGGATGATCGCGAGCGCCTCCTTGTCGTGGATCGGATAGTTCAGCTCGGCTCCCCTAAGCTTGCGTGACTCGTACGCTATCGGTTGCAACCCGCGGCCCTGGTCCTGAAGAAGCACTGCTCCTATGGCCCGATCTGATGCGTCGGTCACTACAACGTACGGGCGAGTGGGATCTGGGTATGACAGTGTCGGTGAAGACGTGAGCGATTGCTTCATCTGCTCGAACGCATGCTGCTGCGCTGGACCCCAATCGAAATCTACGCCCTTCCGGAGTAGGTCGGTGAGTGGACTAGCCATCCATGCGTAACCCTGAACGAAACGACGGTAGTAATTTGCAAATCCGAGAAGGCTCCGCAACTCCTTCACAAGGTCGGAGCCACCCAATCTTGTACTGCTGCGATCTTCTTCGGGTCGGTCCTAATGCCACTAGTAGAACGACGTGACCTAGAAACTCGACCTCAAGGAGGAAGACTCGCACTTCGACTGCTTAGCGTACAGCTGCTCCTTCCGCAAGACCTCGAACACCTTCTGCAAGTGCTGCACGTGCTCCTCTTTCGTCTTGGAGAAGACTAGGATGTCATCTAGGTAAACTACAACGAACGACCCTAGGAACTCGGAGAGGACTGTGTTCATGAGCGTCTGAAACGTCGCTGGGGCGTTGGTCAAACCGAACGGTAGAACTCTAAACTCGTACAACCCCTGCTTCATACGAAACATCGTCTTGTGCTGGTCCTCTGGAACTACGCGAATCTGGTGGTAACCCGAACGAAGGTCGATCTTTGAGAAGACTCTAGTGCCCTGCACCGCATCTAGGAGATCCTCTACTCTTGGCACCGGCAATCTATTCTTGACTGTGGCGGCGTTCAGTGCGCGGTAGTCTATGCACATCCGTAACCCTCCGTCTTTCTTAGGCGCGAAGAGGATCGGTGCTGCCCAAGGCGATCTAGATGGCTGTATGAACCCCTGCGCGAGAAAGTGCCTAACCTACTGCGTCATCTCCTCTGTCTCCGCTGGACTCAACATCCACTGCGGCTTTGCTACTGGCCTGCTCCCCGGCTTCAACTCTATTCTATGGTCTACTGCTCGGCTGGGAGGTAACCCTGGGGGCACTCGTCGGGGAAGACGTCTGCGAACTCTGCTAACAGTGCACTCACCTCAGCAGGAAGAGTCGCCTTCTCACCAACTGTTGCACTCCCTCCTTTCCCCTCCTCAGCTTCCACCTCCTCAAGGAAAACCGCAAAGATCCGTGCCGCTCGCTTCACCAGCTGCCGCACATGAACAGCATTGATGATGGCTGTGGAGGATGTGGCCCCATCGCTCCACTGTGGCAGCTCCCGGAACTCGCCATCTACCTTGACGCTGCAGCTTCCCTGAGCCCAATCGAACTGAGTACTAACCGTCCGCGTACTTACTTTCATGATGAATAGTGTTAGGCCCGCTAACCTAAATCCGCTAATGATTAGCGGGGCCGACTAAGTCGAGGATAAACGCGGCGGAAGACTTTTGCGAAAGAGAGTGTTGGCGAAATAGGCGAAGAAGTAACAGAGTAATTAAAAAGTTGAATGAGAATCGATTGCTATGAGGGAATACAAGCAAGGTTGATATAGCATGCAAGGGCAATTGTAGGAAAGTGGTTTGTGGGACTAGGAACTAGAAGGCAAAGACAGTAGAGTGCCACGTGGAACTAGGAATCTAGGAAGATAAGGATAAGGGTGAGTTGGAAAGTATTGTTCAGGTGAACAGTAAATCCCCCCTTAACAACTAGTCTAAAAGCTATTGGAAACAATTGATTTAGCGCCTCTGTCGTGTCGAAACACCAAGTCAGAAGCGAAGCAAAACATATCGAAGTATTAGCGAGTGAACCCTCGGAGGTTGAACAACTGCTGGAGGTTACGCGAAAGTCAAAGGTCAGTGACCTTTGACCTGACAAGCACAGCACGAAAGCAAGGACAAACAACTGACTCGCTATTGAGCAGTTGCCCGAGTCGTCACTGTATCGAACCACAACAGCAATAGTAAAACGGTTATTAACTGTATCTCTTCGTATTCCTTGTACTCTTATAAAAGCCTGTATCTCTTTGTTTTAATCAATCTACTTGCCCTCACATACCAGCGCAAGGTGGTTCACAAACTTCTCATTAGAACGCTTCCGCTATTACATTGTCCTACTCAGAATTTAGTCCTGCAAAGATCCTAAGGGCTTTTCTCAGCCCAACAAAAGCACTGTTGTATTCTCCATACAAGTTGGTGGTAAATTCATTATTCCTCTTTACCCGAAACCCAAAGCCATGCGAGGAGAGATCATGTACACGACCAAATCACATGCATACATTCCATTGATAGCAGGCCCTCAGATTGGTTTGAGGATATGCTGATCGATCAGCGTGCCCCGGCCGCCCAGGTGTCCAAATCAGCGTTCATGGTTTTTTTTTACTGATTTTGCCAGTGTAAAAATCATAAGTAGACTGAACTGAACCATCAGTGTAAAAAAGAAAAACAAAGTTGAATCACCAATTCAACTCAAAGTTTGCCGCTGTGAGAGTTCCTTCCAGCGATGCAAAGCACATCGGCACGCGATCTGCTGTACAGCGCATGGCATCTCCAAGTGTGTGGGTGGGGTCTCGTGAATCCCGGGCCAGGTACATACGGTACATACGGTGCAAAATTGAAGCATATGCTGAAATTCCAGGAAAACGAAAATCACAGCTACAAAATCAGCCTAATCAGCGTGTTTTACGCTGATATCTGAGGGCCTGATTGATAATCATGTAACTGCCCATGCTGCTGAAATGATCAATTAAGCATGTACAACATATGGTAGACAAAATTCCACACCATGGCCTCTCCAACAGGCCCAAAATACCTCCCTTCCGTTGCTACCGAATCATTCCCAGCTGTTTCAGATTCAGCGAAGCAAGTGTAGTGCACATCTTTATGCCCACACGTGTCATCTGCCTTGGGGCCGCAATCAACCAATCATTGAGCAGCGACAGCCCGAATCGACCTAAGTGCCGGGCAGCGACTTTGTTCAAGTGTGAAATGAGCATGTTGGTTCCAAGATCGCAGTAATCGTTGAGCCGCTTCGGCGGAATGCTTCGGTACAGAAACCAAGGGCCTTCGGTGAGCTGCACTCCAGTTTCAACCTTCCCCAGGGGCTGCTGCTCCTGCAACCTCCGTTTCTGCTGCTGCTGCTGCTCCTGCAGCTTCCGTTGCTGCTGCGGTGGCTGCTGCTGCTGCTGCTGCTGCTGCTGCTGCTGCTGCTGCTGCTGCTGCTGCTGTTCCTGCTTCCACCGCTTTTGCTGAGCAAGTTCCATTCTGGAATAAATCCACTCCAGGAAGTTAGGAAGGTAGTATCCAAATGCGTTCTCGGGCTCGTCGCAAAAAACGGCCGTCCAGAAGCCAGCATCGAACAGCATCACATCCGCTGTGGTGGAGATGTCGGGGAACTTGAGCCTGTCCAGTGATGTGATGCGCTTCTCCTTTTTGCTGCACACGAGGAGTTAGTGGAGAATGGGGAAATGATGGGATGAAGGAGAAGCCAGCATCGAACAGCATCACATCAGCCGTGGTGGACATGTCTGGGAACCCGAGCCTCTGCAGTGATGAGATGCCCTTTTCCCTGCACAGCGGTTAAGGGGAGAAAGAAGAGGGGGAAAGAAGAGGAGAGAATGATTGTTCTGAGACATATCAGAACAAAAAGCGTCACATCTGGGGTGGTGGAAATGTCTGGGAACTTGAGCCTCTGCAGAGATGAGATGCCCTTTTCCCTGCAAAGGAGGGTGAAGGGAGAATGGGGGTATGATGAGACGAAGGAGAAAGCACTTGTATTGTGTTGGGAGCCTCAGACAGGATATGGGTATGCACAAGTGAAGCCACTGGTAATGCCGAGATAGACAGGCTATGAGCATAAGGAGGGGTGGTTGGAGAGTCATAGGTTCAGAGGTAATGCCACATATGATGGGATGACAACGATTGGAAACACACCAACACACACTCTCTCTCCCCCCCTTCCACACACACACAGGCACACATGCACACACACACACACACACGCACACACTCACCCCACCCCTCTCCCTCCTCTCCTCTCCCCCCCCATGCATGCACGTACGGGTGCGTGCACACCCCCGCGATCACATGAACACGCACACACATGCACATGCACATGCACTACATGCACACAATAACCAAAAACAGCTGATCTTACACGCAGCCAAAAGGCCCGTCGACGTAGATCCCTCCGATCCAATAGAAATTCAGCTTCAGGGGCAGCAGCTCCGGGCTAGGGGGCGGCACGACCAATCGGATATCTCCGTGAAACTTGACAGTAGATGCATTGGCCTTGCCAGTGAGGAGGAAGTAGAGATGGTGGAAGAGGAATCGCAAGTGGGAATCTCCGACAAAGTTAATCTCGGAAATGCCTCGGGATTGAAGGGTGTAGACCCATTGGGAGGTGGGGGGGAGGGGTGCGCGCATGGTAGAGCTGCCACGTGTAGGCTTGCTTTTGGGGGGTGAAGAGCCAGCGGCCGTGGATGGAATGGTCACAGGGCGAATCTGGGCCGTCCGTTGCCTCATGAAAGAGCTTGCTGCTGGGTTGAGATTCGGCTGCAGCAGCTGGTTCGGTGACTGGTTCGGTGAACGACTTGGTGGATGGGAGGACGGTGAGGACCCACTGAGCCATGACATGTGATCCCGTGCTGTTGACTCGCTCCAAGTAATCGGGAGCAAAGTCCAACGTGTCGCACTCTGATTGGACCAGGACGCTGATTGGGCAGGGAGTTGGGAGAAGGGGTAGCAATGCGAAGGGGAGGAAAGAATTTCACCTTTTTAAGGTGAGCATTTGACTACGCATTTAAGGGTTACATTCAAGTAGACTGAGCTTTCGGAAGGGAATGGAATAGAGAGCTAGAAATCCACCTATCCTGCCCAACAGTCCCCAATCCCCCCATCTGCTTCCCCTTGCCCCATCCCCTTCTCAAGCTTTCCCGTTCTCCCCTTCCTCTCACCTGAACCGCCGCCCCTTCCCTCTCTCCTGCCTCCCTCCCTCCCCTCTCTCTTCCTCCCTCCCCTCCTTCCCCCCTCCTCTCCTTCCCCTTCCCCTCTCTCCTAAACCTTCCTCTCCCCTCTCTTGTGACCCACCCCTTCCCCTCTCTCCTTCCCTTCCCCCCTCCTCCCCGCAACCCGCAACCCTCACCTGTAGTTTCCAGCGTCCCACACGCGGTACGTCACTCGCCATCGCGTGACGTCACCCTCCTCTGTAGTCACATCCGCTGCAACCAACGCAGGCCCCATCAGCCTCACCACCAGCGACTCGCGCAAACCACCCACACCCCTCCGCGCGCTGCTGCTGCTGCTGCCGCCGCCGCTACCACTGCTGCTGCCACTACCTACAGAACCAGACTCCCGTAAGGACCGGCCGCTTCTGCTCCTCGATTGGTTCCTGGCAGCGTCATCACTCCACGCGCTTCTACTCGCTGACCGCAGCGCGCGCGGTCAAGCAGCCATCAGACCCGCTCGAGCTATCGCTGCTGCTGCTGCTGCTACTGCTCAGCCCGATCGAGCCTAATTCTCCGTCCCGCGCGCGTGATCGAACCAGAGCCCGGCGGCCTCTCTTTCTCCCCCCAGGCTTGGCCGCTCGCGAGTGGCGACCCATTTCGCGGGCGATCTGACGGCAATCTCGAAGGCGCACAGCTCCCCCACCGTGCAGCGGGAGCACCCCCCGCCGAAAATTAACACGCCTCCCCTCCGCCGCGATCCGCCATGATTTGATTTGATCATGTTGCTGCTGGATCCCGACGAGTCCCCTCCGCTGTACCCGCCGTGGTCCCCGGACCACCAGCAAATCGAATCCGATCCTACCGGGTTTTCCGGATTGATGGACTTCTCCTGGCTCGGAGCCACGTCAGCGTTTGGGTTGGCCTGTTCGTGCGCGGTACGGGACGGTTCGCTGGTTCGGCTTGATGCAAGCGCTCCGAGCCAGATTGGCAGGCTTGGTGCGTCTGTGTATATCGTGCATGAGTCCACGAGGACGGTGAAGAGTAGTAACGGAACTATCACAAGCGCAAACAGCGACAGCACGACCAGAAAAGCTACCCAACAGCGCTTCGATTCATTGGTGACTGTAGCTGCCGCCATTTGAGCGGCTTCGCCCAACAAAATCGTATAGATATATTATTTTAGGACCAGCCGTGTTGGTGACCTGCAGCGAACACCGCACGCACGGCTTCAACACGTTTGGGCGCTAAATGAATGTCTAGTGTAGAGCGGAGTTGCACAGATTGCTACATGCCGGCTTGCAAAAACTGACAGAGGGACCATCTGTTGCCGGGGGAATCTACCGCTGCAGGAGCACTGATAATGCGGGGATAATTCATGGGCAAGGCAAGGACCATGGGGTTCCAGAGGGCGGACCAGAGACATGTGACACACCCTAATGCTTTAGATTGTGTGGATGATTCGCTATTCCTTTTACAGTAAGAGGTATGTGTAACGAAAATCATTTTTCCTTACTTCTCATCCCTGCTCAACGCGTACATCACTATAGCACCACAGTCAGCACCGTTACCACTCGCGACCCTCGCATCGACAATCAGCCCGCCATTTTTGCACATCGCACCCCAACCTCACGGCTCGGCTGGTAACCCGCGCTCCGGGCCTCCGCTTCGACACTTTCCCAAACCTCAGTCCCAGGCCCGTCACGCGACAACCACAGTCCATTACCGTTACCACTGTAGTTTCGCTATATATTCTTCGCTCATGCCTTCGCTCATTGTATTTTTGCTTCGATAGTGCAATTCTCGTTCACTTACTCAATTGCACTCGTAACAGTATGATTGCGATGAGTGGATGGACATGTGACGAAGGCTGGAAGGGGCGCTACACCTTCCTGAGGGGTGTACTATCATTTCTGAGGGACTCGTGAGGGAGAGAAGAGCAAAGATGGTTGTCATGTCACGCAGGCTCGTTCTCTCAACCTCCAATGCGGTACAGTAGCTTTCCACACGGTTCGTACTCACAGCGATTTTGACCGTAACGCACCAAGTAAAACCGAAGATTGGTTAACTTGTGCTCTGCACTTCTCCACTCTTATCCTCCCGAGGGAATGCTCGATGAGGTGGGTGGAGGAGAGCCCAAGGTTAGACGTTTCCTTCCACCAACCAAGGAGCACATGTCTGTCCGTGTGAGGAGGGAGTACAGTAGAATCCTCGGTTCCGGTTCTTTCTGGTGTGGGATGTTATGATGCCCCGCTGGAGTCGTGCTTTGCATTCTTACACTCCATTGTCTGGGCTTGTTGCAAATGCTGAGGTTATACAATACATGCAAATGCTTTGAGTTCCTTATCGAGGTTGACTGCTTCGTGTACAGCCCGATTTTCAGACTTCGCACGTTCGGCCGATTTCAACGCTGCTGAGGCTCCTCGCGTCGCCTTCGGCATTTCCCAGTCGCCAAACCTGCACCCAACCTCGCTCGTCCGAGGTTCCCTCCTAGCTAGGCTAGCCCCTACATTAGTCTGTGCCTTCATTGTATTCTGAGATCTGTTAATCACAGTCTCGTCATTCGTTTACCTGCGCACTCTCTTTTACAACTCATAACACCTGGTATCAGAGCTACTTTCCTAGTTCACCCCGCTTTTCCGAGGGTAGTTTCGTGGCATAGGGTGTGGCTAGTTTAGTGACTACACGACGGTTGGCTGCAGGGATTGTTAATTCAATCCTTCCCTACTCCGATTGTTCGTGTTTTCACTTGCCTGAAGGCCACGGATGCCCGATTGCCCACCAGACGTAGCGCTAGGCACATGGTGTCGGAATGTCATATTTGTTATCTAGCCTGCAGTGGGGTACTCTATAGCGAGTATAACCCCTTAGGGTTTCATATTTGTATCTCATTGCTTGCTAGTACAACCCTCCTCTTTTGCCTAACTTCTTCTTGCCTAGCTAGGTAAGTCCTAGCTATGGCTACTATCGTTACCTACCTATTTTCACATGGTGATCAGAGCAGTACGCTCCTGGCCTGTGTGCCTAACCACGTTCCTTCCGCTGCAACTACTACTTTCCCTTACCGCCGTGCGCCCCGAGGCGCGCGGCGGTTTTCTGCCCACCGTGCGCCCCGAGGCGCGCGGCGGTTCTCTTCCCGCCGCGCGCCCCGGGGCGCGCGGCGGGTTTCTGCCCCGTCACGCCGCGCGCCGCTCCCGGGAGGCGCTGTGACGGGCGACGGGGACCTCCGCGTCGCCCCCCGTCGCCCGTCGTGGCCTCTGTGCGACCCGTACAGGCAGCGCGCGGCCCGTACGGGCTGCGCCAGACCCACGCGCTGCCCGTACGGGCTGCGCCAGGCTCGCGCGCGGCCCGTACGGGCTGCGCCAGGCCCGCGCGCGGCCCGTACGGGCTGCGCCAGGCCGTCGCGCGGCCCGTACGGGACACGCCCGACCCGCGCGCGGCTCGGCCGCATGCGCGCGGCTCGGGCGTCCCTACCAGGCCCGTGGTGGGCCCGTTTCCTACCTTCCCTGCCCTCCCCGCTGTTCCCAGTCCCTCTACTACCGCCCTACCCCTCCTACTCCCCATTCTCCTACTTTAGGGTTTGGGGGTGAGGGGTATGGGGTGTGACCCTCCTCAGTACCACTCCCTGCTCCTCCTCCTCCTCCGTTTCCTTGTGCTGCAGGGGGGGGGTGATTGTGGTGGAGTCGGTGGAGTGATACTAAGGGGGGGGGAAGGGGAGGAGAGCTAGCGGTGTAGCAGTGGGTGTGTGCCAAGGGGAGTAGGACAGTCTGGGGAAGCTGAATGGAGGATGCCGATGTGTCGCTAGCAGCACCTGTAGTCCGGGGACTTCGTCCGGTAGCCCAGTCGTAGCCAGCTGTGCCAGCCGCCCGTGGGTCCGTTGCTCGTCTGCCGCTACTTTAGCTGCGGGGCCAGTTACTCCTGTAGTCCGGGGGCTTCGTCCGGTAGCCGCTGTGCCAGTCTGCCTCCTGTTGCCCGTGTGTCTGCAGCTTCATCCGTCGCCTCCTATCTCCTCTCCTCTCAGTCTCTCTCCTCCTCCTCACTTGCCCGTTGTGACTACCTCTAGCTTTGCTTATAACTGTGAACTTTATACTACTGCTGCTTGAACTTGTGCTCAGACTGTGTGGTGACATTGTGATCCACCCTGAGCTTGTTCTGTTTTGCTTGCTCTGCTGATTACACCCCACTTTGGCTATGGGGGTGTGTCAAATGTCATATTTGTTATCTAGCCTGCAGTGGGGTGTCAGAATTATATTTATTATAACTGCATGTAGTTCTAGCTGTAGTGTAGTTATTAAATTTGTAGGTGGTGCACCTCTTCATGTGTTCCTTTGCTATATGTACTTCGAATGCTATAGTGAAAACACATTCTCCAATTTCTCTCTCACAACTCACTCGACATCGCTCCTAAGGAAAACCCGCTCGATACCTAGTTAGGGCCTAGGCTACTAAGCCTAGGCCCCACCTTTCAACTCCTGTTCTTAGACTCTCGACATGGGGTACTCTATAGCAAGTATAACCCCTTAGGGTTTCATATTTGTATCTCATTGCTTGCTAGTACAACCCTCCTCTTTTGCCTAACTTCTTCTTGCCTAGCTAGGTAAGTCCTAGCTATGGCTACTATCGTTACCTACCTATTTTCACACATGGATCAGGAGACGGCTAACAAATTGATGGCGCAAGTGGCAGAAATGCAAGACAGCATGAAGTCGTTAATGGCGGAAGTGACAACACTGCGTGAAGAAAACGCCGAGCTGCGCCAGACGCGAGGTGAAGCGCGTCAGGTGCCGCCCGAGGACGAAGGCGAGGGCAACAGTCAAGCGGTGAGCAATCCCTTGGACGCGCTCACACGTGACTTCGAAGAGGAGGATAGGCAGCGAGCGGCAGCAACGCCAATTGCAGTAACGACGATCAAGATCAAGCCCGTCAACCCGCCCCGTTTAATCCTACGGACAAGACGGTTACAGTAAAGGGTGGCTGTTCGGGGTCGAGGTCTTCTTCATTGCAGCAGGAGTTAATGACGATGCCACGCATATTAATTACGTGGTTTCGCTTATTCGAGGTGCATCGCTTGAGTGGTGGCGCCGAACCTTGGAAACGGGGATGCCGACAGGTGTGACGCATGCGGCAGACGGGACCTCAACAGTGACTAATCAAGTGGCAGAACCGATCTTCGGAGTGACTAAGATGAGATCGCTTCGTGGAAGGAGTGGAAGGAGTGGGGCGCAGCCTTACGAGATCGCTT